AGAAACTACTTCAATACTTCCAATTATTAGTAAAACAAATCCAGTGTATTAAGGGAACTACTCGTCACTGCTTATAGACACTTAGAGGTTTTATATTTCCAGTACTGACTTAATGAAAAATAAATGTGTTCATTTATGTGAAAAATACATAACTGTTCATGCATATGAAAATGATTCAATAAAATACAGAAAGCGGCAACAACGGTCAGGTTACCAAAGAGAAAAATGTTACTAAGACAAGAGAATTTTAAACCACAGATCCCGGTTACACCATAGTTTCCCTAGGAGGCAGTGTAACTCCATGTTTAGCACCCCAGACAACTTTATAAAACTGAACTACAACCAGAGGCGGAAAGTGGTAACAAAACCATGTCCACTGCTCTGAGGATGGTCAGATAGTTAGGCTGGTGTGTGACAGAGGAAGCCAGGAAGGAGGGAGGCGGGGTAGTTCAGATAGAAACTGCCGCAGAGCCAGCAATTTACCATCACAAGACTCCTTTTGTCTGAGGGCTTCTGACATCAGCATGTGCGTCAGAGACAGACAGAACATCACACACACACACACATTATCTGAGCGCTCACTTAGTGGCTATGTCCGTCTGTTTTTTACTAGTCTGAACATATTCTTGTTTTCCTGGTATCACTTTAATGATCTCGATAGAACTCCATGTTATGTCCCCAGAGGGTGCTGTGCATTGCTGTCTCTGTGTAATTAAACGTGACGTATGCGTTTCTGTGTGTGTGTGTGTGTGTGTGTGTGTGAAGATCCACAGGAAGGAGTTGTGGTGCTGCTACCAGCAGAGTCCCAGCAACAAATGGTGCAGCTGCTCTACTTCCTACCCAAGATGTCCCAGTCTCTTCTGGCCAATCTAAGTTGCTGCTGCACTGCCGGGCGAATCTCTGCCGGCCTCGCTGCCTCTCTGATTCGTATCGTACACCTTAGGTGAGCATGAAAACCCCCGTACACCTGCGGAGGCCACGCAATGTCAATTTATCAGTGTGTGTGTGTGTGTAAGGAGACTCTCATGTTTAGGAAAGAGATCTTTGACAGCACAGGAATTTTAGAATGACAATGTTACACCTATCAGGCTATAGTGTTGGACACTCAAAGCACTCCAGCCTGCCACCATCAGATGGCAGTATTGCTCTTTTACAGATGACCTCCTGACATTTCTTCTTCTTTCGTACCGGCCTGTTGACAGGTGCTGATGTGGATACCCTGTATATTTGATATTCAACTTAGTGGTGGCAATAAAAACAGCTTTTTATATTCTGTCACACACCCCAACAGCTTACCTTTTCCTGTGATGGTGAGTGTGTCTGTGTGCATTTGGGTGTCTGACCTTTCGCTTGTGTCAGTGGGGCAGTGTTATACAAATTTTGAGTGAAGAGAGTGCTGGGTTCATACGAGATGGGATGTGTGTGTAATGGGTATGATACAAAGAGCTCTTTGGGCGGCTGGAATGCTGGAGTCGTCATGGAGAACTGCGTAGACAGTTCTGTCTGCGTGTGCCTCCCGGGCTTTACAAAACAAAGTTATTCACTCACATTTCCTGCTGTTACAGATCTATACTCCGTTCAAGGCATTGAAGACATTTTCATACTGTATTTCTATGCACTATTACCCTCACTATTATTACAAAACACAGCATCATGAATAGTTCCAAGAGATGTGATAAGGAATATATAAGAAATTAATGTAAGTGGTGTGTCCAAAAAGCATAAGGTTGCATAGATTACAAGTTGTAAAAACATTTCATGCTGAGAATAATTTCCTGCTTTGTGTTTAAAGCCGCGTTTGCGTCAGTAATTGTATAATGTGTTCACTTACTATGCTCTCCAGGTCATCTCTGAGCGGCTGGTCGGTTGGGAGCCAGCCAGCGGCTCTGCAGGATGTGGACTACATCAGCTTCCTGTTCTCCACCCTGACAGGCTTCTCGTCCGACAAGCTCGCCTTCCTGCAGGAGGCTGGTGACAAGAGCGCCCTGCCTCCCTCCCCTCTCTCACCCCTCAGCCTTTACCCGACCCCGCTGGACCAGTTCACACACCACTGGGATGTTGTTGAGGTGTGTTCACTGTATATGTCTTTCCCCAGACCTCACGTACATTCTGACTCTTACCAATGCTGCCAATCAGAAACTCTCGGATTTAATGTTGAAAATTAATCCAGAAGGGACAGAGACCAGGAGGTGAAGGAAGAGCAGGAAGAGACATTGTTTTGAAAATTGAACAGTGTTGATATTCTGGACACAGTTGTGGTCTCTCAGACCCCTCTGGTCCCTCTCTGTCTCCCCAAATAGAGCTCAAAGGGTGAAAGCTTTATCGTGGCACTTCGGCTGAGAGGGGAACCTTTATCGCGGTGCGCAGGTTGGAGATGCGTGGTTATCGGGCATAGCGGATATGCACAAATGCTAATGAGAGCCTATGGCATGATGGGAGTGTGACATTTCTGCACTGAAATTACAGTTAACGTAACTATGCCCTGGGGCAAGAGTGTGTGAGTAAGTGGGGGGCTTATAATCACTAATTCAGCTCCTCAATTAAGCCCTCTGATCCTACCTCTCTCATCTCCCTGTCCGAGTCAATCATGGGCAAGGGGCGGGAAGGAGGAGGGAGGGGACAGGTGGTGGTGAGGGGGGAGGCATTAAGGGACGGACTGTGTCAACTCTGGTTTGACTAATGAGACGGGATTGTTTTTAATGACAGTGAGAATGCCAACAGGTGCACCGTTCTGACACATGCTGGCTCGCACTCACTCCTGCACTTCAGCGTGCACACACCTCAATTTGATAAAAACTAATGAGAAATTTGATTTGGATTTGAAGTTAATGAGGAAAAGCTGAGCCTTATTTTTCACTTTTAAAAGTTTGTGGCGGATCCTCAGGCCTGAAAGCCATCTTGTCTCCATCCCAGCAAGAATGCAATTTAGATGCTGTTTGTTTTCTTTGATAAAGGCACGGTGAAGTGAAGGCCTCACTTCATACAGACAGGAATGTAGAAATACTAATGTGGTTTGATAAATGCAGGATAAAGCTGTTTGAAAAACTCTAACGTATTTACAGCTGTGCTGTTTCATTTCATTGTCCTGACATTGTTTTTTATCATAAGCAATGTTTAAGAAGACTGCTAGGTTTTCCAACACATCAGCTGTCATTACTTAACTTTTCACACCTGGGGATGTAAAGCTTTGGGAACCAACAGGGTTTGGGTCAATGTACCGGTTACTTTATGACTGTATATGACAATTATCCCCAGAATTGTTACCGAAACATAAACTTATATTTGTTGTTGACAGATATTACACAATATTTAGGACAGAAATTGTAAAAAAACAAAACAAAAAAAGATGCATCTTTCCATTTAAAAGAATTTAACAAAAATCTTTCAGTTGAAAGCACACAGCAACTTTTTTTTCCAAAACATGTTGCTAAAATTAATCACACTTCTTTTGTAAGCAGTGTGTGTGTATGAGGTATTTCTATGGAAAAATCACATATGTTTGATATGAAATTATTTTTTATTAATTAAACTGTTTCATTCATAGGAAGTCTGCCACTGTCTGGAAGCTCTGGGTTCAAAAACTCAGTGTTTTGACATCTTGCAAAATGGCATCTGCAAATACCTGGTGAGAAACAGCTTTCATTAAGCAGGAAAACTACACTCAGGATTTCGCAATTATTGTCCTCAAACTGCTTTTCCTTATGCTTTACTGCTGTTGTCTTCATTTGAAAACATGATACACTATAAACATCCTGTATTTGTTATGCGTGTCTCAGACCAAGTTACGGGTGGTGCCTGACAGTATGGCGGCAGGGCTGCTTAGAGCTGTATCCAGATTACTGGACTTGTCCGTCCTGCCCATTGAGCCCGTGCTGCGCTTCTTGTCTCAGTGCTGCCTCAGCCTGCTGGCTCTGCTCATCACCCTGCAGCAGGAGTTGCCTGCCGAAACCAACCACAAAAGGTGTGTGTTGAATAACTGAAACCCTTTAGCTATCTCCTGTTGATTTCAAATATTGAACTTAATTGTATCAGTTTGCTGTTAATATAATTTCAGGTGATTAAGAGTTGCAACAATTGGGTTTAAAGCACCTTTGTGTCACATTTGCAGGGAGGCAATATGGGGTGCTTGTGTGTCTGCGTTGAGCACTGTTCCTCGCCTGCTGCGAATGGTTCTGCAGTTGTTGCGTGTTGGAAATCTGAGTGAGGAGGAGCTGCCGCGGCTTGGACAGATCCTATCAATGCTGCTGCAGCACGCGCCGCTCCACAACCAGCTGCTGGCCAACGCTGCTCTGCTACAAGAGATCATCCAACACCTCACGGTAAAAACGGCTCACATGTGAAATTCACAGGGATGGATTTTACTTTAAGCCTTTTGAACAATTGTGGATTAAGAGTTGGGATTGTAATTGTTCACCTCTCTTGAAGGCTGTTCATCTGGTGTGTGTGTGTGTGTGTGTGTGTGTGTGTTTTTCAGAGGTATTCCCGTGGTGCGACCAGGGAGCAGTGGTTGACAGACTTGCTCTACTGTTACAGTGTCACCGTGGCTCACAGCTCTTCCGCTCGGCGTGGAAACCTGGGCCTTCGAGACATGTATTGATCAATGCACCCACCAGACTGGCACCTGGTGTGTTCGTCAGTTCACCCTCTCAAACATCTTACAGCTACGTTGACAGACAAAACACTCACAAAGCTCAGTAGTGATGAGTACATACAGCCAAGCTTTCAGACAGGACTACAGTGGATAAGTGTGGTTTTTTTTTTTTTTATTGTGAGAATACACCACATTCTTGTTTTAAGAGCTCCAGTTTTTTTATTTCTTAAGCTCCCTCTCTCTCTGCTTCATTTTTAGCGTGGTAATTGTTTGTCCTCCTTTTGCCTCTTTGGAGTATTGTTGCTGCCCAACCCTGTCAAGTGCTTACTGGGGCACCTGGCGACTTTTGATTAAAAAATAAAAAAAACATAATGAAAAACTAAATAAAGGGAAATCTGAGTGAGCTGCCTTTTGTGTCAATTTTTTGTTTTATTTTTTATAACAGAAACATTGAGGTATATATCTAAAATTACACAATATGGATTATTTTTGTGCAAATGCATATTAAAGTAAATAAAAACAGCATAGTTAAGAAATACACCACTCTCTTGAAAGGGAAAGGACTTAACTGTGTGTGTGTGTGTGTGTGTGTGTGTGTGTGTGCGTGCACGTGTGTGCGTGCGTGCATGCGTGCGCATCTGTGGCTGCAGGTGGGCTATCTGTATGACCGGCTGTTGATAGACTGCCTCATTCTCCACAACAGGAGGAAAGGTTATCTCAGTGTGTGTGCGAGAGCGATGGAGAACGAGAGAGATGGCATGTGTGTGTGTATGTGTTCCTTCCACAATGGATGAAAGGTTATCTTTTACACACACCATTTCTGTAGACTTAACCCCACCCTGTGAGGTCATGGCTCTGATGTCATTTGGCTTAATTTTAGAAAGCTTGGCACCTTGAACGAACAATGTGTATAGTAATTCTATAGTGGTGAGGCCACCAGCCAGCTGAGAAAACATCAAAGAACACAAGTGTGTATGTGTGTGTGTGGCTTCAATGTTTTCCCCGGCCTCTGGTCCCCTGTCCAGCACTATGCGGTCTCAGGTGGTAAGAGAACTGCTTGGCTTGATTCATGGCGTCGGTCAGGTGCACGCAGTCTATACTGCTCACTGTAAAACAAGCACATAAAATGACCTTTTAGAGACTTTAAGTTTGTTCAAACTGCTTGTTTGTGTATGCACACGCACTTACACTGGCTCTGGGTGCGTAAAGGCACGTCCAGGAGCAGCTGAGACTCAGAGCCCCGAAGTGAACGCCCTCGTCTGGCCATAGAGTTGCCTAAAGGACAGTAAAGGAAAATGTTTGGATGATATCTTCATTTAAGTTTGTAGCTACATCCTACTAACAGTTTCAATCAGCTGGCGCTGCATAGCAAACCCCAGGACACTCCTGTAACTGGTTGAGCCAGTCAGATTCCACACCCATGGCTGTTTTTGGTGTAGCCTTTATATTGCTGCTTGGATGATGCTGTAGTTAACAAAGGCTCTATAGCTCAGTGGTTAGAGCACTGGTCTTGTAAACCAGGGGTCGTGAGTTCAAACCTCACTGGAGCCTTAATTATTATCATTTTTATCATATTTAGTGGCTTTAATTATTAGTAAAAAAAATCCAATGTATTAAGGGAACTACTTGTCTCTGATTACTGACACTTACAGGTAGTCTACAAGAGGTAGTTCAGATTCAGTATTGTTAACATGTTTTATTCAGAATTATTTTAATATTTTTTAAATATTATTTTCTGCTGCAGTGCAATGGAAGACTCTGTCGACATGTTTAAAGTAGATCACATCTGAGAGCTTAAAAAAATGGTTTCTTGGTTGCTTGTTTAATGTAAAAGAGTGCCTGAAACATGTAAGCGTTGCCTCTCTGCCTTAGTATGTGTAATTGTGTACTGTTGGAGGAGCACAGTGGCAATAAATAATTAAATTTTACTGTGCTCTTAGTGCAGAGGTATAACATGTTTTAAATCAACTAATGAATCAAACTTGCACACAGAAATGCTTTGGCACATGTAGTTTTGTTATCTGTGATGTAAAAAGAATTGTCTCTCTCCGTGTGTTGCTACAGATCTTAGAGATGCATTTCAGATAAAATAATTAACAGGCAATTTAAAAATGGTTTATGATGATTAAACGGAGCAATGTGACCCAGTCCAGAGTTGTGCGTCAAATGTCTGAATACGTCTCATAAAAACAGCAGTGCGAGAACGAGTCTCGTGTGTGTGTGTGTGTGTGTGTGTGTGTGTGTGTGTGTGTGTGTGTGGCACAGTGTCTGGGTTTATGTGTGTGTGTTTAGCAGATTGTTCTACGCAGTCGTCTGACATTCCCCCTGACAGCTCTGAACTTTTCACAGTGCCAGGACTGACAGAGAGCGAGAAGGATAGAAAGAGAGGGAGGAGGGTGAGGTGAGGTGAAAAGGGGGAGGGGAAAACCACGTCAGAAGGTTGGATTGGGTTGGAGTGAGGAGTTTGGAGACGGCGTGTGCACTTGTATGTTTTGGCCCAGCGAGGTTTCTGCCCGTTCTCCCATCATCACCTGGTGATGTGTGATGAAGGTCAGGGCTGTCTGTGGGCCGATACCCTACCATAGGTTCCACATAGCCAACCAGGCTGATACTGTTCTGATATGTGGACTGAAGCGTCACTCGAACATTTACATGAGTTCCTGCTCCCAGAGTTAGTCACATACAGCGTGTTCTACAACGGTATGACAACCATCCTGACTTCCAGCTTCTTCTTCAATCTGTTTCCATAAAATTTAAGAGCTTTGAGCAATTGGGATAGAAAAGCTCCCACCTCAAAGGGTAAATCAACTCAGGAACGTGGGGCTGGAAACAGCTACTTTCACACTCTCTGTAGGTTACAACTTAAGAAAATTCTGCACACCCAAACCAATATAGGCTTTGACATCACTGACACACAGTATGCTTGAAAGTTTCAGCCTATTGGGAGCAGTGCAGCAGCTTTTTTCAGCCACAAGTGATTCACAGGTGGTTTACCATCAAAAGGATACGGCTGGTCATATCCTACATTCTATATATTTCATCAGCAAATCCCATGAAAAGACAAAAGGCCACAGTGCATCAGTTCATCTCCCAGTAATTTCCAACATCCTTACCCTGTCTGTGGCCCACTCCAAGATCATTTGTTCCCATTGAGGACATAATCGTTACAAATATAAACCAGAGTAAATGGTGCATTTGTTGAAGACTATTTTTAGGTGCACTAGCTAGTAATTAATGTATGACAGTGGGACAGTGAATGTGTAATAAACTACAGTGCCCAAGTGTTTTTGGACAACAATGGATCTCAATGACTCAGAGGAATACGCTATTGAAGAATCTGGCTAAACTGTGTTTTCATGAGAATTGTTTAAAATAAATAATACAACCAGATAAATTGCTTTAAGATGCGGCCACATTTGCATATTGTCCCTACCCATATTTACTTCTTCTCTTGTTCACTTCGGTTGAAGCCCATGTGACAAATTTAAGCTTGGGCTTAAGAGTTTCCTGCTTTGGTTTCAGCTCCAGCCGACAGAGTCACAGCTCAGACTTCAGGTTTGTTCAATTTTGACCTGCACATTTGCAGTCAAGCTGATGGGAACCACACTTTACACAATTACACCATTGGTAGTATAATTTCACTACCAGACATACAAAGCATCGCTCTCAAGTTTTAGTTGAATGGTTCAGGAGGGGTATGTGTGGTTCGCGATGGGGCTCTACTGGGGAAAGGGTGTGGGGTCCTTCCATATGATGTCTTGTTTTTTTCTTTCTGTGTAAGTGGAATTTTGTTATTTTGTAAGCTTTATTATGTTGTTGTTTGTTATACACATATATTATAAAGCAAAAAAAAAGCTCACCATAGATACTTTGTAGCACTGAGCTCTTTCTCGTTGACGGTTTAGTGGGTTGAGCTCGGATTTCCATCTTCTTCCTGTTTTGGGCGTGGTTTGAATCACCTGACTCCACCTCTTCGCGGGCCCTTACCTCTCTCCGTCTGTGTGCGTGGAACCTGCAAAAACACATTCATGCAAGCGCATACAAGTGCATGTCGTTCAATAATCAAACAAAAAAATCTCAGACTGCGTTCAAAGGTCTAAAAGCTGGCAAGTCCTCACACTAATAAACTAAGCATAAACAAAGTAAACAGAGTTTATTCAAGGCAGTTAATAGGCAGCACATACAGAATATAATTGTGTAGCTGAATGGAAACAGTGGGCCTCCTGCAGCGGACTGGCAGCCTCTAAGAGAAACACAAGCAAAGAGAGGCTGCTGGTAGCTATTAGAGCAACACATCTGAACTTTTAGCCTCTTGTTAAACCAGTATGAAAGCTCTAGATTATACCCCGTCTGTCCCCTGCCTACTTGTCTCACCCATCTCCCACGCTCTCCCCCCACAGCTCAAGTGTTGATGGCATCCAGACTGAACATGGGGGAGGACGGCACATGTGGGCACCACATGGCATTGCCAATCTCCCACAGCCAGATAAGCTCCTGCTACTGAACACCCTTTCGGGTACAAACACAAGTGCACACACACATGTAAACTCACCTTCGCCAAGCTCGCTGGATGATGCGCGCAGCCTCGTTGCTTGTGCTATGCTGCTCTTTGTTGTGCTCCCTGTGTGTGTGTGTTGGGATAGGTGCATGTGTGGCAGACTGAGTCTTTCTTGAAGGGCTTTTGTGGTCTAAAGATGAACTACTTCTTAATGAGGGAGTGTGAGTTTGGTCTTTGGTGGTGACCTTTTCTGAAGTCTGCTCCTTGTGGTTTCTGTGCTTTTGTGGAGAGGTGCGAGCATCAGTCTTACCGGAGGCAGTCTGCACATGTGTCATGTGAGCATCTCTCTTTTTTAGAGGGATGCATTCTCTTGTAATAGTGTCAGTTTGGTCCGTCGTAGAGACGCTTGTGGAAGGAGTGTTTGAGGAAAGTCTTTCCCTGCCTTTGGGCATGGAGGGGGGTCTGGGTTTGAGGCTGGGTGGCTGGCTGCAGCTGGCAGGAGAGAGAAGTTCCTTCAGCCTGGTGGTGTGGGAAGCACCGGGCACTGTGTCACCGGTCACATGACAGTGGCGGCTCGAAGCATCAGGAACCTCATGTGGTTCAGCTGCTTTACTTTTTCTGGAGAATCTGTTCTTGTGTACTGGTGAGTGAAATAAAGAGAAAAGAAAAGGAAACATGAGATATACAAAAGATTTTGTGCAAAATGTTTCTGCTTTGTGTGTGTTTACTTGCGGGAATGCTGTTTTTTATTTCAAGAAAATATTTATCTTTGAGTTTCAAGTTTGACAACCCACTAGACATACATTCAAACCATCATTAGCCTATTTCTGCACATTTGTACCTTTGTGTCTCTCCTCTTTGCTCTTAGTGCGTTCAGCTTTTGATGATTTCTTTGTTTCAACCACCGAGTCATTCATGGACAAGTCCTCTAGAATGTTCACTAAGGAGAGCTTTTCCTGCTCTGTTCTCACCAGAGGGACCCTCCGTTTCTCATCAGCGGCCACAGACACTTGCTGTACAGCTTCTCTCCTCCTCAGTTCCTCCTCTCGCTTCCTGAACACAAAGAAAAGCAGTGGGATCTGAGTTTGTTTTAAATGTATGGACATTGACATGGACAGAGAGATCAAAACATTGTGTTCAGATGAGAATATTAAATATTACATATATTTTAGTTATACTAATGCACCATCAAGTGTGCAAATAAAAAATGACCACTTCACACAGGCGAAAGTGCAACTTTCTGGTTCATGCCAAGACAATAAAAAGTACTCTTTCTGTGCAAAGACAGTTTTTTAGTTGTGGAGTAATAAATATTTCATGCATTTGGTCACAACTTGGGGGCAATCTAATACGAAGAAAAGATGCCGTACAATAGATTACTTTGTAAGAAAAACATCTCATAAAAGACTTATGTTTCAATAAAACTGCATGCTTGAAATAACAAGAAGTCAATGTGCCCTCCTAAAACAAATTTGCCTCTCAAAAGCAATATGTACGACAGAATAAAGGTGAGACTGGTGAACAAATGACAAAACAGAGAGCTAGCCAGAAGAGAGAGACAGCGGGAAGACTGATGTGTGTGCGGGGATGACAGAGAGAAAGATAGATATGGAGAGAGTGTGACTCTTCCTATATGGGCGAGAAGAGGAAGACAGAGACAAATATTGAAGACAGAAACAGGAGTGAGTGATGAATGGCTGAGGCTTCAGTACATGTGTCTCTTTCTACGCACACAAACATGTGAGTATGTATCTGTGTGTGCTCATCTCTCACTTGGCTGCATCCTTGCGCAGCTGCTCATGCCTCATGAGGAGCTGCTTTCTCTCCTTGAAGGCCTTGCGGACGGTGTAGCCCTTGTAGACGGCCTGGATGGAGGCAGCAGCGATGTCCTGGATGGCTGCGATTGACAGAGCACCATGCTCCAGCATGAACTGAGTCACCTCACTGTGCCCCCCCAGCAGAGCGTAGTCCAAAGGGGTGTATCTGCAAACCACGGACACCAGTGTCATTCATAAATCTGTTTTCCAGCTTCTACCTCCCTGTCTCCACACCTCCAGTTCCTCCATCTCTCGACTAGCTCTGTCCTCACCTCTCCTCAGTGTGCTCCATGTGATTAGGAAAGGCATTGTAGCCCAGTAGCAGTTTCACAGCGTCCAGGTAGCCATTGTTACACGACCAGTGTAGAGCAGTCCGCCCCTGTGCAACCATAAAAAGAGCACCCATTCAAACTATAGCTGTGTTCAAAGTTTCAGATAACATACAGATGTGTGGATGCATTCATGAACGTTTGAGCAGATTTCTACCTCTTTATCTTGTATGTTTGGATCAGCATTGTTCTCCATGAGAACAGCCATGCAGGTGATGTAGCCGCCATAAGCAGCACACTGCAGAGGAGTCCGTCCTGCTTGGTCCTGCCCAGCAGAAGTTTAAATATTTAACAGTCTGGTGCAGAACAATTAAATGAGTAGCTAAGGATTAATGAGGCTGATCCTGATTTTATCCTCACTGCTTGTGAAACAGTGCAGTGGAATAATTAATATTTGATTCATATTGGACCCACCACTTCAGATGTGCAACTAATTTTTGTTGCAATCAATGGGGGACAACAATCCTTGTTTAGTGGATCGAAAGCCTTCCGCGGTGCAGCCAAAGCTAACATGATGCTAGATTTAAAATGACCTCCCAGGTTTGTTACAACAGACTGTTGTATCATGTTAGCTTTGGCTAAACTTTGGAGATCTTCTTGTGCATGAAACAAGGATTGTGGATGGAAAGCTAGAGCTGCACAGCCCAGAGACGGATAGGGATAGGATGAAACTTCCCTATTTACTATGTAAAACTATGGAGTAATGACTATTAAATAGGGATTTAAAGATCCTGTTTCTGTGTATGTTTTGAGTGTGTGCATTCATACCTGTACATTGGGACTAATCCCATTCTCCATCAGTATCTGGCAGACCTCAGCATTCCCTCCCAGAGCTGCCCAGTGCAGAGCAGTGTGACCATCCACGTCTACCAGGTCCACGTGTGCAGAACCTTTATTCATTACACTGACATTTCAGTTGAGGCATTTAACTGACACACAGAAATGTGTAGTAATACTTACTGTACATACTGTATGTACCAACTGTACCCACCTTTGATGAGTGTGAGAATGACATCTCTGTGTCCCATCTCGCAAGCGCGAAACAGCGGCGTGTGTTTCATCACATCCAGAGAGTCGACCATCGCTCCCCTCTCCAACAGCAGCTTCACTGTGCTCACATGGCCTGACAGGGAGGCCGCATGGAGTGCTGTGTGAACACGCACATATATATGTAAAAAAAACTACCCCGAGAAAAGAATATGAGGCTCTTCCCTCATCTGCCTCTTCTTTGTTCATTCTTCCCCTATACTGTCGCTCCTCTCTGGGCTGTGGCTAAAGCCCAGTCAATGGAGGGTTAAACCAACACAGACATTTAATGAGGAGCAATATACTTAAACCTCCTTGTGGCTCCCCCTCCGTCCCCTCTCTCCAGTCCCCAGACAGTACAGACTAGAGTCAAGTGCATAGAAGTGATCTGGGCACCAGTCAGCTCCACTGCCCTTCACACCGTCTCATTAGCATGACTCAACCGTTGCATGTTATGCATGCATAAGCAATGACCGCCTGGCTGAGCAGAGGGGCTATTGCCATGGAGATTATAAGTCCAAAAAGCGCCGGGGGTCAGAGAGTGGCAATAAGTTGTGTGTGTGTGTGTGTGCGTGCGTGTGGCAATAAATTGTGTGTGTGCTCATCAGAGGACAGTGCTGGCAGTGGTGGGAGTCTATTCAGCGAGCTCACACTAATTTTGCTGACACTATCACTTCACTCTCTCTCTCTCAGCCTCACAGTCTCTCTAGCACCTTGGGGGAAATCCCCTGTGACATCATCATCCCTAGCCTAAAACAAGAAGCAGGCCACACACAAACAGAACAAGGATAAAAGTGTGTGTGTGTGTGTGTGTGTACAGTATTGGGAAGAGTAGGGGGTGCGGGTCAAAGCCTCGTTTTCCGCTCTGATTTCTCAGGCACTCACCTGTGCCTCCGTACTTGTCGGCCATGTTGATGTCAATTTGAGGGGTGAGGGCCAGCATGGTGCGGATTACATCGTCACTGCCTTTCCCAGCGGCCCACATAAAGGCCGTCCTCCCCTCCAGATCGGGTTCATCCTTCACAGATGGGTGAGACAGAAACACACCCACTGTCTCCTACTCACCGCACATACATACAGAAGACCATTATTTCAGCTTAATTTAGTATTTTGGGCGGTATGAAAAGGGAGACATTAAATCACACATTTAAAGGATTAATGTGCATAGTTCTACATGACTAGGCAACATCAAACTTGGGACAAACTAATAAAATAAATCTGTAGATTATCATTAATAAAATCACTCCATGTCAAACTGTATACAAATTAAAATAGTAAACATATATTTCCAAATTCCCCATAAACTATAATTTGACCTTGACAATCAAGCATGTAAAATCATAATAATAATTTGCCTTTATAAGACAGCATTTTCAAGGATGCCGAACATGCAGGATGAGACAGCTTTATTTCATCATAATAAATATTGTATTTTGGATAAAGATGCTTGATGCTGACTCAGCAGGTTTTCAAGCTTTGTGTGTGAGTGTGCATGACTCACAGCATTGTTGCTCTGAGCACCATAATGCAGAGGTGTTGCTCCTTGGCTGTCTGAGGGAATAGTGCCTGATGTGTTTCTCTCCAACAGTATGTGGACGATTCTTGCGTGGCCTGAAAAACACATGTTTTCCATTAGTGGGATGTACGGGTGAGAGATAAGGACAAGGATACACGATAAGGATCTGGGATAATTGCTCACCTTTTTTTAGTTAACTAAAACTGTTAACAGAAAGAAGCCAAAAAAAGTACATCACCTCAACAGAAGTCCACTCTCACAATTTATATAATTACTAACCACTGTGTTTCATTGTGTGATGCTATACAGGTTGTAATAAACCCAAAGAAACAACAAGAGTCAACAGCTTTGCTAGAGGCTCTGTGATGCTGCTCTTGGGCACAGTGGTGCTTTGAGCTGAAATTCTAATGTCAACATGCTAACGTTGACCAGGTATAATGTTTACCATGTTTACCATCTTAGTTTAGGGTGTTAGCATGCTAACATTTGCTAATTTGCACTGAAGTACAGCTGAGGCTGTCAGCTGAAACAAAAGGAAAAGTGAGGGGATCATCAAAGTCAGTAGGATTCATCCTCTGGTTACCATGAACATCTGTACAAAATGGCAATGTATCTGATAGTTGTTGAGATATTTTAGTCTGGATTAAAGTGGTGGGCTGACAGACAGACCATCAAACAAAATTGCATTCCCTAGAGCCAGGCTCTATATATATAAAATAAATAAAACATAATCTTATCATGGGGGTAATAACTCGTCTATTTTGGCTTTGATTCAGCTAACCAGTGTAAAACTTGTTCTCATTGGAATTTTGTTTTTAGGGGAAAGTGGTTGTAATTTTCCACAAAGCCTGAAATCCTTCATTCACAGTGTGCAGCGTTCATTCGGGCTGCAGTAGGTCACACCCACCGAGAAGAGCTGCCCAGTGCAGCGGTGTTCTGAAGAGGTTATCATAAGCTGTCACATTACAGCCCTCGTAGGACGTCAGCACCTCCACCACTGCCTCATTACCGTCTGCAACGGCAAAGTGCAGGGGAGTCCGCCCCTCATAGTCCTGCCAGTTTAACAGGGACTCAGTTGGCGCTGCCTCCTTCTCACACACACACACACGCACGCACACACACATACACATACACACACACACATACAAGACAACCACAGAAAAGAAAAACATGCAGACTGACAGGTGAGGATGGAGGATGATGATGACAAATTTAGTCAGTGAGTGTGTGTGTTTGTGTGTGTGCAATAGTGTGTACCAGTATACAGCGGACGGTTTGTGTAGCGCTGGGCTCCTGACTGTGCGCTGCCCAGTGCAGAGGGATCTTGCCCTCACTGTCTGGGATGCCAATGTTGGAATCATGCTTGATCAGAAGGCGAACGTGTTCTGGTCGGTTATAAAACGCTGACCAGTGGAGAGCAGTTTGCTGTACAAATAGAAAGTGGGACAGAGAGAGATGAAAAGGAAGAGGCAAAGATGATGGATGAGTTTAAAATAGAGGCAGCCATTGTAACACGAGGTTTGAGGTTTCCATTTAGGCTCAAAAAATTACTCCACTTTGACATGGGGAGGAAATATGAGGGCAATGTGCTACACAAAGATCATATTGAAGATCATGCCTCCGTGACGGCTACTGAGCTATTCTGAGATATGCAGAAACCACTGTCATCTGACATGATGATGCATATTGGATTATTACAAAACGAACTACTGATGTCAGATACACATCAGCTCCAGAAGAGAGAGGAGACTGTGTGTTTGTATGTTTGTGGTCTTATCAGTAGGACACAGGACAAAGCCACAGATTGTTAAATTGTTCACTGCTGTGTGTGTGCCTCTCGGGGGGTTCATGCGTGTATGACCTCAAATTCCTGCTGCTTCTAACGAACTGTCTTCAGTCAGTCAGTTATCTCTTTACAGGTTATTGGTCAGACGCCCAGACAGGCTGGTTTCTAACGGAGGACAAACTGTGGGCAGCTGGGAAGACAAACAATCTTCCAACAACTTATTTGTGTGTGTCTGTACTGTAGTACCTTGTTCTTGTCTTGCGTATCAACCTCTCCAGGTCCAATATGTTTGAGTAGCAGGGCGAGGGCTTTTTGGGAGGGGTGTCGGGTGGCCAGGTGGAGCGGGGTCATCTCCTCTAAATCTTTCTGCAGCCAGTTAGCACGCCTGGACAGCAGCAGCTTCAGGAATCGCACATTCCCCTGCAATGAACATGTACAAAAAAAACCCAAATTGTGCTAAATATTATCTCAGAAATCACCAACTCTCCTTGATATTAGTCATGAACCAGCAGCAATGACACACACACTCCCACACACACAGACTCCCCAGGCGTTTAGCTGTGTCTGGTTCAATCCACAGGTCATCCATCTTCGTTTGCGCCTCCTGCCTCTCTGTTCAGCGTCTGTGATGAGCTGTTAAACAGTAAACAGCGGCTCTGCAGCCTGACAGAGCCACCACTCTCTGCCTGTCATCCCCTCCACATCATCATCCTCAAGTTTTGGTCTCAGCGTTTCTCCACCAGGCCGTGGGGTGATGTATTGTGCAACAGCTGTCGCTCATCAGCGTGGTGTGTGTGTGTTTGTGTCCATGCCGGCATGACTGTGTACACGTGTGAGAATATTTTGTATATTTGCCATCCTGTGACCACAAATCCACAGTCTGACAGATCTATCTTGTGTGTGAGCATGCATCTAGACTGTGTGTGTGTGTGTGTTCCCATCCTCCCTATTCTCAGTCCAATTAGATCGGTAATCCCTGGCCTCTCTCCCTGTCTCAGCCATTTATTGATCAGATGTCAACGAGACAGGGCTTCCCATCACTAGCATCCCCCAACACACACACACACACACACGTGCACACACACTCCCTATCTACTAGACAGACCCCAATAACCTATTACCTCCCCTCTTTCTTCAATGATATGATGATTCTGTATCAGCACACTCCCATAAAAGTAGGCACAGACACATAACTGAGTTGTAAAGGGATATCATTAGTGCCACATCCTACTGTTCCCCTGCCACATCCCTTTAGAGTGAACACACCACCCTGTCTAGAGGTGTCCTCATTAACATTGTCTCCTCAGACTGTTCCTCAGTCTTTAATGAAGTTTACAGAACATTCAGCTCCTCTTTTTTTTTTTTTTCAGTGTCAAAAATGGGCTTTCGCCATGCAGAAAAATTGTTTATTTACAGGAATGTGTATAAGTGAAACTCATAGCTACAATGTGTGTGTAGCAGGATTATACCCCCCCCAAAAGCCCTAAGGCCATAACTATAGCCACTAGGGGGCACTGGCTTCCTACTGGAGTTTATCGACTATGGAATTGCCATTAAACCTCAGATCAGACCTAATCTTCATATTCCACTTTTATAAATCCACCCCTTATCAGTTCTTCTGAAATAAACTTAACCACAAAAAGGGGCTGACATATGTGTGACAGTCAACATTTGTGTGTACTTCAGTGTACGTCTGTGTCAGGATGCCCATACCTTCTGGGCGGCAAGGTGCAAAGCGGCGCGCTGGCTGTGATCGGTCTTGTTGACCGAGGCTCCGGCCTTTAGCAGAATCTCTGCACAATCCAGGCGGTCAGCCAGCACACAGTACATCAAAGGGGTCCGGCCAAACTGGTCCTCACGGTCCCGCAGCGAGGGATCTGCTACACACAAGGACACATACAACAAACACAGTTTGAAGGTTTAAGTCAGAGGGTAAGCATTAATAGTGAAGATTTGGGTCAATATGCGTTGTATTCAGTTCAACAAACAGAAAGGCTTTTGATGGAATATGTTATAAACTGTTTTTAAACGGCAACTCCTTGTACTTAAAATGCAGTCTTTTACTGCTTCAGTTTAATAGGAGTTCCACTTCCACTTTTCTAAATAAGTCAGAGCAGCTGGAACCCCAGATGGAAATACTTTAACATTGATAAGCTGGAGGACCACATCGCCTCCTTGCGAAGAGTAACATAAATGGCACTGATCATTTGATGCTATTTTTCACCACACATTTCAATTTTGTATTCAAGTTTAAATCTCAAAATGGCTTAATGTCCAGATAATGACAGCACTTTTGCAGAAGTCTGGACCATCCTTTAGCAGAGGGGCCGCAGTTCCAGCTTCCATGCTGATGAGCACCAGCTCTGCTGTACCTTCTCCAAAACTCCTACCAGCTGCTGCAACTGACCCTGCACTCTCACTTCCCTACAAATGGGGCCAATATAAAGAAGTGTTCCTGATAGAAATCAATAAAGCACCACATTACTACAGATTAATATGAACTGAACCCTGTGTGTTTGGGGTGTTTTGGTGGCCTAGGCCCTAGGGGTTAAGACGCACATGATATAACCGCATTGACCCTGTTTCAATTTCCAAGAACCTTTCTTGAATGTTATATCCTTCTCTCTCCCAATGTGTTCCCTCTCTGTTTTACAACAGTCACTGTCCAACATTAAACTTGTGTGATGCAGGTGATGTAGTGAATAAACCTGTAATATGTCTAGAGGCTGACTGGTTGTGTGCTAACTACCTGTGATGAGTTTGAGAAGGGCGCTCCTATCTCCATTGACAGCTGCAGCATGGACCTGCGAGCCCAGAGAGGCAGGTCCTGGGCTAGACATCGCTGAGGCCTGCAACACAAGCAGATAGAAGGTCACAACTCAACCTGCAGCAACTTGCACTCAACTTACTTATCAAGTATTTAATACGGTGGTGACATTAAGCTGAATCTGGACAGTTTCCTTACCATTCATTGTCCTGCAAGCACACCCCACAACTGGATATAGTTGCGCTTCAGTAGCTCACGTCATATTATATGCCATAAAAGCTATGTTTAAATGGCAACTACTAATGAAATCACTTCAACATCTTCCACAAACATCGATCACATTTCAAGCAGATAACACACACCTGATTCTCCGTTCATTTTCAACATCACAATGAAACAGATACTTCCCAATGTTGGCCTACAGTAGGTAGTGTGTGTGTGTGTGTGTGTGTGTGTGTGTGTGTGTGTGCATACTTGTATGTGTGTGTGTGTGTGTGTGTGTGTGTGTGTGTGTGTGTGTGTGTGTGTGTGTGTGTGTGTGTGTGTGTGTGTGTCTGCTCCTGCTGAGGGGGCTAAATCTCTTCCTGGCCCCACTTACCCAGAGCCCAGTGAAAGCTGGGTAATCTGCAGACAGGAAGCAGCTGGGGAGGGGGAGACCCTGTGTGAGCGTGTAAGAGGGGGGTCTCTCTTCATGTCTTATTCATGTCTCATTAATACTGCAGCATACCTTGCTGTGTGGGTGTGTGTGTGTGCGCGTGTGTGTGTGTGTGTGGGAGGGTTTAGAGATGTGGGACAAGCCCTGCGGGGCACAACAGAGAAATCAATTATTGCCCCTAAACACATAAACGCTGGAGGCACAAACTCGTGCCACAATCTGAGATTTCTCCAAGACATTTTCATTAACAGTCACATGAATAAATCTGATTCACTACTTATGAAACTTGCAGTATAAAGAGGTTCTATGCAATACAACTGATGGGAAATATTGATAAAGTTTAAGCAGGCTGATTACTTCTGTCACAGTCTTGAGAACTTTTTAACTCTTGGTAAGAAAACTGAATGAAGGGAGGAGAGAATACTCTGGTGTCCTCCATCCTTCCTTCTCATCCCCCTCTTCCTCCCTGCCATCGCCTCATAAACAGTGCTCTTATAGACACTGCGTGCAGCATGGCAATTACCCATCATGCTCGCTGCTTTCTCACGCTCTGCCAGGTAGTGGCGGAGACTTAATACAGGTTCGTTAATACATTTACAGCAAAGTAGGGCTATGTGAGCATAAAGGAGGATGGGAGGGAGAGATGATAGGTGCGTAACATAAAGGTGTGTGTGTGTGAACATAGATGTGTGTGTGTGTTTGTGTGTCAGTGTTTGTGTGTGTTTGGCACATGTGCCATGTCATGGGAAGTTATTTTCCGTGAGAGAGAGTTTTTACAGGGGCTTTACCAAAATCAACCACAAACATCTCTAAACATCTCTAATTTAGAGTGATTACTCAGTCAGTAATGCACGTGCATGCGCACATACACAAACACAGTCTGCAGATGCTAATATTTAACACATGCGGAAATAGCAGAGATGCCATAGTCGCACTTTCAGAAAGAGTAATATCATGATTATGATGTTGACATCCTCTTACACAGATGACTAAATGAGACAATCTCATATTCGCTGTGCTTCTTTTCAAGTTCAAAACTTTTAATTTTTTCTGCATTTTTGGAGTCAATATGAAAGCCCCCAGCTGCCACAATAAAATACAGATATAAAATGATTTGTAAATAATCTCGGACTATAATAAAAATATCATAATTTGACCAAACACATGAGGGACACAAGTCAATATCTGAATCTATGTGAGGGACATTCATATCGCCAAAAGAACAGGCAATTAGAGTTTCACGAGGGCCTGAGTGTTTTGGAAACACCTACGGTGCATCCAAATTTGGCTAAAAAGGCTTTTGCAATGCAGTGTCTGAAATCAAACAAAGGAGGGTGTAAAAACAACACTAGGTCCTGTTGAGAGGTTTGGAGTGGTCTCATTTAGCCATTCATATGTGTTCCTCAGGGAGCGCTCCACTTGTTAATACGAAGACAATAACTCAGAGTAAACTATTGATCACAGGCTGAGGTCCAGACTAAGTGATTGTGCATCTGTATAAGTATTGATTCATGCTGATGCTGGCATTATTTAGTCTTTATTCATATTCGGCCTCATATAACTGCAGTGAGTTTAACAAAGAGTCCACACCCTCCCACGAAACCTTTCAGCAACACTACAGGAGTGCTGCGCATTTACACACTGCTGCCTCCTCACACACACACACACTGGACGTGTACTGTAACTAACACTTCAATTGATGCTATTGAGACAGACAAGCAAAGAAACCTTAAAGTGAATTAAAGTGTGTGTGTGTGTATACAGCGTGTTTGACTATACGTTTCTCTAGCTGTCTGTCACCGGGAAGGTGTCTGTTTTTGATAGCGGACATAGCTAGGGCATGCTGGGTAAGCAGTGGGGAACAGAGTCTGAACCTGCGGCTTTTATTTCAATTCAAGACAAGCACACACACACACACACACACACACACACACACACACACACACACACACACACACACACACACACACACACACACACACACACACACACACACACACACACACACACACACACACACACACACACATTTTATTTAAGTGTCTCTTTACACAGTTTACACAGTTATGACAGAGTGAGTTTAGGCTCTTAGCCAACATGGGGTTATTATGGATGCCTATACCACCTACATGTTTCCGTGTGTGTCTGTGTGAGGGTGTACCTATGTCTACCTACATAGGAGGTAGAGACTGCGGGGATCAATCCCTGCATTTTGACTGACAGGTAAAGAGGTTGAGGAAGGATAATATCAGCCCACAGGGATGCCCAATCTGTAAAGCCCTATTTCTGGGGGACTTCCTGGTTCCCCAAGGACCAATGAGCTGGCTCCCTCAGCTGGGGGCCGAGCCCTGGGGCACAGCGGGGCCAATCAGCAGGGGGGCAGAAAGCTGAGTGACACATAGATCAGCTAATTTACATCATTACCACAATGCATCCTGACAAATGAGCCCCCAGGGTGTGAGCCAATCACCTGGGAGAGTAATGCAATTAGGCGGGACCACAGCTGTCAATCTCACAACCACGGGGGTCAGGTAGAGAAGCCTATGGCTAAAACACCCCTGCCTGCTGCCTGTCGTTCACACACATCTATATATGCACACACGTATATACACTGTAGAGAGGGAACACACAAATCACTGGTGCTGGTGCAGATACAAAGTGTAGCATGATAGAGGCTGGTTCTCTATCCATCTCCTGAGGGTGGAGGGTAGGAGGGAGTCAGGAAGGGAGGTGGCGTGTGTGACTGCTCGAGGGACACAGAAACTTGTGTCCTCTGAGGAGTTGCACCTGAGCGCAAGTGTGTGCATATGTACATACATCTGGGTGTTTGTGTGTGTTTACATTTGCCCATGTGTTTTTGCCCACCTGGGGCACGGTGTTGTTTAAGCTCGGAGTCTGAGCTGTACACGAGGACTATGACAACAAAAGGCAGGGGGAGGTAAAGTGGTGCAGAGTAGGCCTGTATTTGACTGGCATGTAAGCAAGTCGCTGCTGCTAATGAGGCTTATCTTAGTCTCATTAGGTGTAGTGATATCATACCGGAGCACTCCATTCAGTCGATAGGGTTATGCCCAGCATGTCGTTAATGTTTGTGGTGTGTGTGTGTGTGTGTGTGTGTGTGTGTGAGGGCTGGTCGATGCTGCTGTGACTGGCAGACTGGCAGGCGGTGCTTGAGATTAATCAGAGGCACTAATAACACCCAGTCTAATGCGAGATATTATAAAGAAACACCGCGAAAAACAAACACATAACGTCCACAAGAGTGAGCTGATACAGTCCCTGTCACCTTGTGTGTGGTTCAGGCACCGCTGATGCAACGCTCTGAGAGTTAGGGGAGCTGTGTGTTTTGTGTCATCCCATTATATCACTAATGAGCCGCCCTCGGGTGGGGGAGAGTGGGGGGGTGGGGGGTGACAGCAAGGCGGACAGGAAAAAGACAGATGAATAAAAAGACTGAGAAGAGGAGGGGAGAGCACGAGAAGGGGGAGGGAGACAGAGACCAGCTTGGGGACTTTTCCTCTCCTCCCCTCCATATCCTTTTCCCAACACCTCTGAGTCTAATTGGACTAAAACTGTGATCTAATTAAATGTCCAATTAAAGTGCAGAGAGCAGTGTGCCCACCGGCGAATCAGAGTACAGGGACATAATCAGCTGGAAAAACAAACAAAAAAATCAATGTGAGCAATGCGAATTGGAAGAAGATGGAGAAAACAGAAAAGAGAGTAGAGGGTAAAATGGGGAGGACGGATGGACGGACGAAATCAGAGTGCACTGAGAGCGGTATGGGTGTGTGCTGCATGGCTCTGTGCATTACGTCTTCAGACAAGGTTACTTCACAAAATATTAATACATAAGTGGTTATGGACCAAACTAACTACTCATACCTAGCTTTGACAACACAAAACACAAGAGAATAACAAAGTCAAAGTTTCAAATGTTCTTGTGACATGGAACAATAGGCTGAGTTTGACAGGAGCACTGAAAAAAAGACATCATTATGCTGTGCCTCAATTTGTCAATCTACAAAGAAACATTTTTAATAAATAAAGTCATTATTAGACAAGCGCCAATATTTGCTGGTTAAGACTTCTCAAATGTAAAGTTTCTCTTTGTTTCATATCACTGTAAATTGAACACCTTTGTTTATGACTGGTGGACAAAGCAGTCAATTTGAAGACCTCCCATTTGGCACTGGTAAGTTGTAAAAGGCATCTGTCATTATTATGACTAAACAATCACCTAATCAAAAAAAAGATTTGTTACATTAATGAAGATAGTAATTTGGTGCAGCCCAACTTAAATCATACTTCAGAGTAAATGTTGCAGTAGCTTGTGGCTTCACATAGCTCACTTCTGATAAACAATAGAAGGTTTCTGAGAAGAGTATACACTTTCCAATCAGAATAATGATCCTTATCAAATATTTTAGTATCAGGACTTACACATACATTTGATGTTATGTCGCACAGAAAAGGGTTGCCTTTCGAAGAATCTTCAATTTCCTTTGGTTCTATCTGTCTTATTTAATCTAGATACATGGGAAAGAACAAATTCGGAAATCACACCCATCAAACTCTTTTAGTTTTGGATAATTTTTATGCTTTTCACTTTGATTTAAGTAGATCTCTACACCAATACTTATTTTTCAAGTAAAATATCAGTAAACTTAGTAACACATAGTAGTAACATATACTGTAGGGCTGGGTGACATATTTACATTTGTCATAAGCTACCATAGTAATTGAATTGTGTTTTTATTTTATTTTTATTTGTGATGCACAAGTTTGTTGTCTAATCTAAAAATAAAAGTGAAATACTTGCACCAGAAATTTGTGTTCCACTGTAAAATTGACATTTGCTTATAGTATAATGCAATAAACACAGCATAGACAACTAAAACGTGGTTCCTCATATCTCAACAGATGAAGTGACATACTGTATATCAATATTGGAAGAACATATTCTGGACACTGTGATGTTTTGTACTTTTACAAAAGCATTAACAACTTAACAAGGACAGTTTGCTCCTCTTTCTCTCCATCACTGATATTCAGACAGGGAGAGAGAGAAATCTTCCACTGACTCCATCTGTGAGTTGCTCACACACTGTGAACCCCCTATGGACAGCTTTAGCCCATAAAATATTAATGCTGGGATTCAATTCAACATTCCACCTTAATCTCCTGAACAATTAGGCTGTTTAAGCACACGCAATTAGGTTGGTTACACATAGTCTCAATGGTCTTCACTCTAGAGAGAGAATTACAAACTGGTAGTACAGGGGAGAGACCAAGGTAACCAACAGATACACCCAATAACTACGGGGGAAAAAAGGGATTTAGAAAAGCTAAATTACATCTGGGTAGCTGCTCTCTGTGTGTTGGATTCTCACCATAGCTGCATTAAGGGGGACACTTCAGCAGATGTTTCTCAGTTCAGTGCATCCTTTGTGGGGTATGCACGCACATCCAAGTCCCCTACCTGTCCTGATCCTGGCTCCTGCAGGGGCATAGAAAGAGGATCACTCACATACTGAGACCAGCCCACCTGTTCACACAATTAACTGCCAACATAATACTGCTACTGTACTGATTACATGCAGAGGGGAGGATGCTTCAGAGTTAACATATTCGCGTTCAATCAGTCTTCTCATCTAATCTGATGATAAAGGAAGAATGACATTTTGTGTTTGTTTAAGCTGCAGCTAAACACACACTTTTGCTGGATTTATGGAAGGATTTTGCATAGTTGTGCATCAGAGTAGGATACCTAAAGGTTTTATAACTCACCTCGTTTTGTGTGGCAAAGTATGGTTTTGCTCAATAACATAAAAACGCATTGCTAGATGGTGAAAATGGGTTGAACAGAGTATTGCAAAATGTGGACGAATAGTGATGCAACTCCCCCCTGTTCAGGAGAAATCACTTATGCATAAGCGTACTAAAGAAGTAACGTTACAGACACCAACTGTGTGACTGTTGATTAGTATAACGTTAATGCTACTGTGTTTTAATAAAGTGTTCTTTCCATCCCTCGTTAGTTGGTGTTATATTTACCGTTTGATTTCCTCTTCTCTCAGATGAAAAACCTAGTAAAGTTTTCTTCCAAGTAGTCCCGTTGAATCGCCACCGTCTGACTAAACACTACAACTCCCGTTACTGTTGCAGACCATTACAACACCATGATTGGAGTTTTCCCCACTAACTATATAGCTGTTTTGCTTAGTGAAAAAACAACATTACCCATAAAGCCAAGCGGGATAACAATACTAGGAAGTGTCCCTCGAGTTTCCGTGGTCACCGTGAGATCGGTTCGCCGTCAGTTTCCTGCTGCTGTAAGAAGAGCGGCGTCGAGACAGACTGGGAAGACTCAACACCACCACCTCCAATAACTATACTGTACAATGAAACTGTTAGCAATATCTCCATCTCTCGATATCCGCTTCGTCACGGTTATATCGCTGGTAAGCATCTTTATTTCAGCCTTATAATGTGCAACAGCCCTTTGATTTTAGCCACAAGAGGAAGCTAACGTTAGCTGAGTAACGTTAGTTAGCCCGCCGCCGGATAGTTAGCTGGTAGCTAACCGATGAGCCACTGCTGGCATGAGACGTGGCTTTTAAAGTGGCTAAGGTGACTAGCGAGCCAGCGACCCGCAGCTGGAGGTGCAGTTATGTAGCAGGTTCAGCGAGGAGGCCTTTTAAATGGGGTTCACCAAACGACTGCCATAACTAATCAAGTTATCCAGCTGCAATGTCAACTTGGCCGGTATTGTTGAGTAACGTTAGCTGTTGTGTTAACGTTACATCAAGCCTCATCCCACTTTATATAACCGAGTTGTTACTCGCACACCAGACTGTTTATTCCTGATTTTAAAAAATAGCTAAAGTTGGACTCTTGATAACTTTGTTGAGGAGGTATGAAGCATCCAGCTCGCATTATGTGCTAGCACAGATCGACAGCAGCGAGATACTTGCTAGCATGGTTAGTTTACGCGTTTTGTTGATTGACTTTGTTGGTCTGCTGTGTTTGATCAAGCTTAGTATTTGTTATTGTGCTGATGCACGGTTTTATTTTCTAACTCTTCGTGTGTCTGTATGTGTCTCTGAAGGATGCTCGCCGGTTGGTGAATTCCTCTGTTGTGGCTCATTCTTATTGGTTGACAACCCGGAACTAAAAATAGCGTAGCAGTTTTGCTGTTGTGAGAGTTTGGGCCTGAAATGAAAACTTACAACTTCATCTGGGCTGCAGAACAGTGTCTGCATTTGTCTAACCATTGTGGCATTGCATAGTAGTGTGTAGCCGTGTAATCCTATATGGCAAAAAGGTGTTTTGTTGAGTAGGATCAGATTTCAAAGGGAACCAGGAAATGTTTTCTATAGAGCAGTAATTTATAAAAGGATTTGTCAATCGGCAGAATAATTAGGAGCGCCGAAGTAATTTTTCTTGCAGAAATACTAAACATTCATTGCCTTTCTATACATCATTGTACATTGAAAATCCTTTGGTTTTGGACTATTGCTTGGATAAAAAGCAAGCTATTTTTACATTTCATATATTAGATTTATCATTTAATCAAAGACACAAATGTCAGATTAATTGATAATAGAAATAATACTTATTTGCAGCCCTAATTTTACACTAAACTAAGGGAGGGACCATGGCAGTTAAACTCTGTTGTAGTAGTGATTGTTACAGCCAGAAGGAGGATCATCATCATATATCCTGTTTAAAGAGGATCTTGCATCAGCACAGATCACAACAGATCAATAGAATGTGGAGGCATTGTTTTTAAGCATTTTAATGCTGTAGAAGTTTTGTCTGATGACATTAAATTGGGGCAGTGGGCGTCATTATGAAAAAATGGGCTTGGCCTTTGCAGCCTTAATGAAATCATTTAGTAAAAGAGTGAAAGCTTTAATAATAAAGTCTTCGTTGGTCTTCTTCTGTCATGTCATCTCCATTGTTAAACATAGGCCATTTTAAACAAAATAGTTCATTTAAGCTACAATTGCCTTTTTTAAATTTGCATTGGTATTTTCAGTTGGCAGTCAGCACCTCCACAACATCAGCCCTTTTTCTCTGTGCTGATCTCTTTCATATTCTTCTCTTTTATACAGCATTGCATCCAGAGCTGGAATTCTGAAATCCCTAGTTGGTACATCATAATTACAACCTTATTGTTTTTTGAATCGTCCATTGAGGAGAAACATTTAAAAAAAATGGATGGCTACAATATTTTATTTTCCCAACCCAAAAAACGGTCCCCCAGGCAACAGCTAATATTATGTCAGTGATATATGAGGATGTAGATTTTTTTTACTATTATCTGACTTACAGTAAAATGTTGTTTTACATTTACCATAGAGGTGATTTTGCTGACTTAGGGTCATGCAATAATTAAAATAAAACCTCAGTGTATTCATTGATTTTTGATTACATTATGTTGAATAATCTGAATTTCTTGAGCACCCTGCCCAAGATGCAACTTGGAAGTTCTTTGCAATTCCATTATCTTTGGTATATTAGAGCGACCATAGTTGTCGCCCATGTTCTCTAACAGATATGATGTCAGAGATAATGTCTGACAAAAAGAGAATGTTGGTAAAAATGTGTGCAGTATGTTTGGGTGTAATGGCCAAATGAATTAAGAGTGACGGAAAGAATATATGCAAACACGGTGCACCATATATTTGGATCAGTCTGCTGCACCTCTCAGTTCTTTTTAAAAACATGGTTGAAGACTTTTCTTTTTGACACATCAGATTTAAGGCTTTTAAATAATATCTTAAACTGCTCTGTAACTTGTTTTTGTTCTATTTAATTAATTTTAATTTTATTTAAATGTCTTCTTTATACTGCCCAATGTTGCTTTAATGTAGAGCAGTTTGAATTGCCTTGTTGTTGAAATGTGCTGTACCTATTAACTTGTTCTGCCTTCCCTTACCCACAGCCAAAATTAAGCCTTAGGTGGCTCACGCTCTGTGATGAGGTGAATGATCTAGGTGGAGCTAATATCAGCGCTGCTGATTCTTTTAAAGATGACAGCTGTAGTAGTTTTGACACCTATGGACAAATGTGGGCTCAAAACACAGTTAGAAATAAATGCAGTTCCACTGGTCTTTGTTTTGTTATACCTTTTGAGAAATATATCAAGTTTCAAAATACTGTTTGGATACTTTTTTAAAGGGTAATTGCATATATCCTGAAAAACACGTTATGGACACGTTATAGCTCTTCATCAGGTATCAGATAAAGATTTTCACAGTAACAGTGTAATGCACGTCCTTCCCTGTTTGTCATATATTTCTGTGACATCCAGACCATTACCATAAATATATAGTCCATGAGTTTATCAATATAACCTTTGCTAATTGGTCAATATGAAGGGACTCAAAAGAGAAAGAAATGCTAATATGCTATTTTTTTAACACACACCTTCTTGTCCAATGCGAATGTAGACCTGTATGAAACTCAAGTTCTTGTTTACATGCACACAAGAAACCAGGTTACAAGGGTAATGCGGGAAATCGTCAGAGCATGAATTTTATGTTGGTCTGCATCACACCTCTCATCTAGGGGTGGATGATATGGCCCTAAAACAATATCACAATATTTCAGGGTATTTCTGCGATAATGATATTCTTGACAATATGACAAAATACGGAAAAATGTTTTTGGTTTAGTAGAACTCACAATAGCTGTTGAGCACTCCTCGCACTCAACCGGGTGCTTCTACCTGAGATGGTGAAATAAGTTTGTTGTATGGTCCCCTTTTGTTGCTACGGTTTTCTTTCCCTTCTTACATATTACCGTGATTTGGTGTACAAATTATCTTTTGTAACCAAACACGTTCCACACCAATGATGTCGCTCCTCTTTCTAGGACTAATTCCTCCACCGCAAAGCCAGTAGCCATATTACTCTGCTTTAAGTCCGAATATTGCCATTATCACAATATGATATGATTTTTATCATATTAAAAATGATACCTGGGACACATTGGAGGTCAGGAGTTGGAAAAAAGTTGCTGTTTCTTTGGTTGCTCTACTCACCCACTCCCCATGGCAAATCTAATTATTATACGCAGCTCTAGAAATATATAACATATTTAAAAAAATATATACTAGTTTTCTAGTCTATACTAGTTTATAGTCTACATTGATATGTTGCATGAAGTAACACCATAGCGTGTTATGTGTGCTAAGGCATGCATTAAGTATACTTTACCCTGTGACAGCTGGTGTTGAGTTGACTCAGTCTGTAGATATGCTGATTAACAGTATGTTGACAGGTTTGTTGGTTCACTCAGTCTTTAATGAAACTGTCTTCAGAATATTTTTCCCCTCCCCCACATAGTTGCCTTAACTAGCAGTCTGTGTTTTTATGTTTTAATTGCTGATCTATATCTTCCCTGTGTGCGTGTAGGTGATGGGCCTTTCTACTCCTGGACAAGCAGAAATCACCAGTCTGGACTCAAGCAACATTGATGACGTCCTAAGTAAGGCATCACACTTTATTCTTCAAAAGTGACTTAAAGGAATAGTTTGGGAATTTTGGTAAAATGTTCTTTATTTGCTTTCTTGCTGAGAGTTAGATGAGAAGGTTGATACCACTCTGGTATGTCTGGCATAAAGACTGGAAGCAAGAGGAATCATCTTATTTCCTTGTATTTCTTTTTTGTCTAATTCTTGGCAGGAAAACAAAAAATCATATTTCCAAAAATGTCAAACGTTTCCTTTAATAGTCATTCAGATCTTTGTCCTCCACTATTTCTTCTCAGTTGTCTTTGAGAAATACATATATGTTTCCATCTTTGTTACCTCCACCAAGGATGTAGTGTTTTCAGTCCACTTTGTCTCTGTTAGCAGAATATCACAAAAATAGATTTTAGTGAAGTTTGGTGGCCAAAGAAGAACATGACCTATTATGTTATTAGTTAATATTTTACATTTTCTTATGACCCCTGCACTGTGAGCTGGATAGGCAAAGTTCTGTTTTCCTGTTAATGTTAATATTGGCCACACCCATTGCTGCACACCTCCCACAAATTCTATTAATATTCACCAAGGTGTGGATGCTAAAATATTTGGGATACCTGGAAAGTTTTCTATGGTTCTGTTGTGTTTTCTTACAATTGTTTGCCCCATTGTTGCAGATCTGCCCTACTTAATTGTTCTTGGACCCTTCCCTTCACTGACAGAAAACTGAGGGCTTAAAGATTGATTAGCCTAATTAATTAGTTTTCTAGCAAAACATACATTCATGAGTATATTTGGTTATATATATATATATATATGCTTTTATTTATTTCCTGTGTGTGTTTCCTTGCAGATAATGCTGGGGTGGCATTAGTGAATTTTTATGCAGACTGGTAAGTGTGTCACTGGACCTCTGTATATTATGTCAAGGATGTTTAAATTGAGTTTTGCTCATGAGGCAGACGTTTCCTATGAATACCACGTGGTGCAATAAGTATAATTAGATTGCTGTCATCCTCCGTAGAGATTTTGTTGATTTATTGTCAAAGGATTCTTACACAGTATGTCTGTTTGATTCTTATATATTTCTGAGCTGGTCTAATTCATGGATGAATTTGGGAGCTGGGAGCAAAAATCATTTGACCACATGGTCAAATACTGTCAGTCCATTGGACTAAAAAAAATCTTATTAATTTAATTCAAATTATGGAAATCCTTTTGACCTCACGCCACTCCTCTACCCGCGTTACAGGTGCAGGTTCAGTCAGATGCTCCATCCAATTTTTGAGGAGGCATCAAACATAGTGAGGGAGGAATTCCCCAATACCAAGCAGGTGGTGTTTGCCCGCGTCGACTGTGACCAACATTGTGAGTATTGCGTACCTTTTTATTAATTTTTAGTGTTCTTTCACATTATCAAGAAAAGTACCAAACAACAACTAGCAGATACAACTAACAATTAAACTTGAAAAAATATTATGAAATGTCTATCACGAATTACAAGAGCCATATATTTTATTCATTTCATCAGCTGCCAAAGTATTTCTTTCATAAAGATGTGAAACAAAGACAAAGGAACTCATCTTAGTAATTTTGCTGAAACTGGAAATGTTTTATTTTATAACTTACTTAAATGATGAATCAGTTAGTCAAATTATATTGGTATGTTGTGGTTGTTGTTTATGGTACTGGTATAACATCCTCTTTCTATATACGGATAGGAAACAAAAAAAGGCACACACACTCTTGCTATATTTGATGCACATATGTACACATGGATGCCCAACACACCAAAGCACAGACACATAAACCGCCAGCCTCAGCCTTTTGAGATAAAGCAAATTAAAGAGAATTATTGATGACCTGCAAACTGTTTGAAGACTAATGACAAAACTGCTGCTTCCTGTGAAGACGGGAGGCTTAGAGACACCCCGCGGGGAGATTGACACCTGCCACACACACACACACACACACACACACACACTCATTCACTGTGTGCAGAGAGAATATTTACTCTTGGCGGGGGGCAGCTTTCATGTGGGAGATCAGAGCACAGAGCTGACTGAAGGCAGTGTTTTCAGACTGAGGTTTAAGCGCCGTCTCTGTCACTGCTCATCCTCCTCATCCACCCATCCCCATGTGTTTTTACTCTGCTTCTTCCTCTTCATCAATTGATTTGTCCTTCTTTACTTAACTTCTCCTCTGCCTCTGTGTAGCGGATATAGCCCAGCGGTACCGCATAACCAAGTATCCGACATTGAAGCTGTTCCGCAATGGGATGATGATGAAGAGGGAGTACAGGGGTCAGAGGTCGGTGTCAGCCATCGCTGACTTCATCCGCCAGCAGCAGGTCGACCCTGTGAAAGAGTTACACTCAGTGGAGGAGTTTGCTACTGTGGATGTGAGTGGCAAACACACAAACTGTGTCTATAAAACATCGCCAATTTCCACAGTCATTGTAAAGTAAAATGGTATAATTTGTTTTTTTATTCAACAGAGGAGCAAGAGAAACATCATAGGTTACTTTGAAAAAAAGGACTCCGATAACTACCACTCATATGAAAAAGTAGCCAACATTCTTCGAGATGACTGCACATTCTTGGCTGCCTTTGGGTGAGACACAACTCCTCCTTTTCATCCATTTCCCATAATCATTCAAATGAAGTGCGAGCAACCACACAGCCCGATTCACAGCGTGGTTCTCAGCAAAACATTATCTGTTGATTGTCATGTTGACATGATGGAAGTCAGCGAGGCTGTGCAGTGAGTAAATCTCACTCCCTGACACCTTAAGAGATGCACTGGCGACCGACACTAGTGCCCATGGGTTTTAGGCTCTTCGTCAGCGTGTCTGCTTCCTGTACCTGAGGTCGTCGGTTCGAGTCAGGACTGTGCAGTACGTTCTCGGGAGCAGCTGGTTACATTGACATCATACCAGCATTACACCTTTCACTACAGTTTCAGTTTCTTTTTGTGTAAAATATGCCACAGACATTTATTACAACTGAGCACACACTCCTTAGTGCAGATCTTTTGTCTCCCCTTTCTGACAGTGAGAGTAATTACACTACAGAGTCGACACGTGCTTATGATGCATCAGCTCTACCCTACTGAGACGCTACTGTAGCTGTGTTTGCTCCTGCCTCCAGCTCTGGCAAACCAATCATTGCTGGTTGGCATAAAACACATCACCACCAGTTCAACAGGGCAGGAATGTCGCCATAGACACCAGATTTAAAAATATAGAGATATTTACCTGACAGTGATAGGCTTAATCAGCATTGTGTCATTCATTTATATGTAAATTTATAATGAAATGACATTATTGATGGCCATTATCAAAGTCCAATATAGAAAGATAGGGCTGGCAGTAGCAACACTGTGTGGACACCACATGTGTGTGAGCTGCAATAGTTCAGCAAGGTAGCCGTCACGTACAGGTAGAGGTAAGCGGTGTGGCCGAGGCGTTAGTTTCAGTTAGGGCTGAACGATTTGCGTTCTGTACGACTTGGATTTTACTGCAAGATATTGCAATTATGATTCAATTTGCGTTTTTTTGTTTTTTTCAATAAAAATAAAAAAGTTTAATATTTACTGTGTAATAGATAAAACAAAACAGAGCTAATTGCGGTCTAGTCAGTGCTTGTGCTCACACCAGAAGCCCTACATCGCATCCCAGAAGTGTCTCTCCGCTCTGCTCTGTGGAGAATATCCAGCAGTCTAGTTTTGATGGAAGCAACGTCAAGCAGCACAGAGCAGATGAACCAGGCAGGAAGTCGGACGGCATAGAGAATCCGGTCAATTTTCAAAATAAAACTCCCTTCGCAGACTCCTGATAGTATATCAACAATAAACACAGTTAAAACAGTCAAAAAAAAGAAACACTTTAACTACATAGCCTGCATAACCATGGCAGAAGTACAAAAATCCCACGTTTTCCTCTAGTTTTGTCTGTTGTAAAATGTACATGCCCTGTGCCCCCTCTGATTGGTGAGTGGGACTGTGGACAGGAGGCGCATGGCACTTGTGATTGGCAAGCAAGTCTGTCACACAAGGATGACAACGGAATGAATTTGCAACTGCGTGTCTGTTTAAAACGGGTCAGATGCGCTGGACAATTAACCTACATTTTTATTCGCAGTCTTCACGATTTAGCTTATCGCATTCTTTCAAATCGCAATTTTGATTTGAAAACGATTAATTCTCCAGACCTGGTTTCAATGTCACTTTTGTCAATGTCATTTCTTTTTATATTAATAAATCTCTTTTTTTTAACCGCTTTACTCTTATAGCACTGTGTCTGAGTCCGAGCGCTTCAGTGGAGACAATGTAATCTACAAGCCTGTGGGGGAGAACATTCCTGACATGGTCTATCTCGGCTCACTCACCAACTTCGACCTGACCTACGCTTGGGCCCAGGACAAGTGTGTGCCTCTGGTCAGGGAGATCACCTTTGAAAATGGAGAGGTGTGTTACCTGCTTCTTGTGTATAGAGCATTGTCGGCTTGATAATCTGTTTTGGTTAATCGATTATCGGTTTGAAATTAGATGTGTAAATCTGGAGGGTATTCATGAAGTCTGTGGGTAGTCCATCTGCTGAGCCACGGAAAGCCCCTGACTCCATTTGTCATTGACTTTTTGTGTGTTTTTTCCAGGAGCTGACTGAAGAAGGAATCCCTTTCCTCATCTTGTTCCATGTTAAAGAAGATGCACAGAGCTTAGAGCAGTTCCAGCAGGAAGTAGCTCGCCAGCTCATCAGCGAGAAAGGTGCGTGTGTGTGGCATTTTATACCTGGCGGTGATGTGATTTTTAGTTCAACCTGTGTTCATGACATTTTTGTCTCCTCCTCAGGGTCTATAAACTTCCTGCACGCGGACTGCGACAAGTTTCGCCATCCTCTGCTCCATATCCAGAAAACTCCAGCTGACTGTCCTGTCATTGCTATAGACTCCTTCAGACACATGTATGTCTTTCCCGACTTCAAAGACCTTGCGTAAGTACCACCTTTCACTTACTTACTCTATAAAATAATTTAGTTTTGCATGAAGATGCACTAAGTGTGTGCATGTGCGTGCGTGCGTTTGCAGAAATTTTTTACCTTAAAATGATATGAAAATTATTGTCAATCGCTAATAAATGATTAACTGTATGGTCATTTCAAACAATACCGATATAATTTTTTGGGGGTACTGTCGTGTGTACGTGTCTTTTTTTTAAACAGGGAAAAATATGGGCTGGTAATTGTTTAATGCGAAAAGAAATATTCAAATATAAATGCAACTGTAACAATGAATCATCCACATGTCAAATCAGTCTGATATATTCAGCATCCTTTTGGACATTTTTGAGCATTAAAATTGTTAATAACAAAATCTCCTTAATTTCATTACACACAGACAGACAGACACACACAGACAGACAGACAGACACACACACACACACACACACACACACACACACACACACACACACACACACACACACACACACACACACACACACACACACACACACACACACACACACCATAATCCATTGTGCACTCAAAACTAGAGAAATGTCACACCTCCTAAAATCTGTCCTTTCTGAATGGGCCCGGACACCGGAGCTAATGTGACATGATTTGGCACGTGCAATAAGTGCTAAACTAATCTAGTCTAATCTAATTTAATCTTATTTATTCTGCACCCCCACCCCACCACCACCACAACCACTCTGCCTCCCCCAGTCCCCAATCAGTCTGATCAGATAGACAGAAGCCCCGAGGACTGACCAGCCCACCACAACCTAATTACATCACATCACCAGTGCATGTGGCACGCTGCTTGTAATGACTTTAGCGCAGTGTATTTACTATATATATATATATATATATATATATATATATATATATATATATATATATATATATATATATATATATATATATATATATATATATATATATATATAAAATGT